ATTTACCTTTGCTCCAGTTTGGCATGCTCTGTCCACGTTTCAGCCTTGGGCACTAAACCCAGCCCCAGCCCAACCCTGCAGCAGTGGTGTGCAGCCCACAGTTGCTACTTCATGGCTGCTATGGGGGATGGGCTGAAGCTGTGCTCGCTGCCCCAGGCTAGAACCAGGACACAGCCCGCCAGCATGAAGGGGAAGGGGTGGGGGAGCAGGCAGAGGGCAGGCACTAGCAGGGGGCAAGCTAGTTGACCTCCCCACACTAAGTGCACTCCCACTACTTGCCCCCCCTACAGCAGTTTTGGGGGAGATGGGATGGGGAGATGGGGAATGAATCAAAGATGGCTGTCCAATAATTAGATTCTATACATGGAAAATTAAAAAATTAGAAAGAGGGGAATTTAGAGTGAGATTTTAAAAAATATACACATGTGCACACACATGTTCTCTCCCTCCTTCCCCAACCAAATTATTAAACAGAACATTACCACTAAATAAATTTTTTCCAGCACTTTACTAACCTGTTTAATATATTCAATGAGGTTTGGAATACAATTGATTTCAAATCTAAGATTTTTCAAAGGTTCAAGCCATTTACTAAGTTCTGAAAACAAAAAGACAAGATATTTCAGCAAACAAAATTTGTATCATTACATTTTTTAATTTAAAAAAAGCCTTAAAAGTAATTAAATTCAGACATAAAATACTAAGTGCACAGGTGAAATCTGTGAGACAAAGGTCATGAAAATAATCAATTTTCATTAACATACCGATGGAGAAGAAAACCCCCACCACATTAAGGCAGGACATTCCCCTGATCTGCATGAACTGAGTACTACTGAATTCAAGCTAGGTGCTGAAATGATTTTTGGCATGTGACCAAAGTTGCAGCTTACTTCCTTCCAAATGCTATGTAACTGGTCATCTGGAATGCAATGAAATTGGCAAAACGTTTCCACTTCTGAGTCATTTTATAAGAAGTCCCTAATGAAGAACTGGGTTTCTATAAACAATATTAAATTAGTATCTATTAGAATTTTATTTTGTTAACGTTTTACACTTACTTGTAATTAGACAAATACAATTAATAAAAAACCTCCCTTGGGCAATCAAGGTCCCTACCCGAACTAGTTAAAAATACATGACAAAGCCATTCAGTCCTGAAAGAGCAGCATATTCTCCTCATGTACACACAACCACATAAAACAGTTAATTACAAACAAAATCCAACTCTTCCAACTCCTTAAATAGATGTTCAAGTAAAACCCCACTCCAGGCCACCAGGGTATTCTCTGTGAAAGCTCTTCAACTCAGGATACATCCCTTTGTGGTCAAGAAGGGCCTAGACTGGTTAAACTGATGCAGGCTATAAAACCCAACTTATTTCAAAAGTACTTAAGGAAGCCAAGGGCTGCCAAGTAGAACAGCAAGAACAGGAACTTTTCATTGGACTTTATAACATTGCCAGGCTAGCCTGGCATCGATCCTTGTACAAGCGTCTAATCACTGGAAAAACTGATAAATTAGAAATTTTGTGTAGAAGGTTTTTTTTTTCCATCCACTAATAGTGCACTAAGTTTCAGAAGTGCCTGGAGTTCTGGACTAAAAGGAAGAAAAACAGTACAATCAAAATAGTAGTTAACCACTGACTCTACTAAACTTGCCTTCCTAATTATTTCCAAGGAGTACAAACGTCCTGCCGTTATCTGATATTCCTGGTAATTAATATTATATAAATTATTCACTAGGAAGACTATCAAGTTGAAGAACCCTTATTAACATAAATAGGAAAAATTATACATCTTCTCAGTGACTCAACCTAATCATATGTCGCTAAAAGGGGAATTTCATTATATACATTATCAAAACCAGATGATCATGAAGTACTAATTACTAGTATATAAAAGGTTTCTGCTATACATTCTGAACAATTCACTTGATAATAGCACATACTGTACCTTGCAATTTGGTGTTATTTTCATCAGCCTTACAAAGCTTCAACAGAGGTGCCGAGTGCTGTTCCAGCATTTGAACATCACTGGAGGACTGAACCACCAGCAAAACAAGTATGCAGGCATAATTATAAGCAACTGACTTCTTAGACTTGGAGTCACTGAAACAGATAAAGGATTTCCTGAAATGGTACACTGCCATACTGGGCATTTGAGGGATCCTCTCACCTGAACACTTAAGAATAACCTATAGAACTCCATCTCTATTACAGCTTCACCTAAAGAAGAAAAATAAATAATCTTGCCTACAAGTGTTTTTTGAGAAACAGATCAAAATTATACTTTGATCTCTTGATAAGGAATGAAACAGCTACCCATGTGTTAATTGTGTACTTTGTATATTTATTCTGTGGTTTTTTTGCAAACTTTAATGCTCAAGAGAGCGGGAAATTGATAGCACGGACTAGAATCAAATAAATAGTGCGCACGCTTTCTTATACATCTTTGTCAATGCTATTCAGTCTTTACTCCTTAAGTGACAAATTTTTCTAGAAAAAATACTGGAAGCTTTCAAGATTTGGAAAATATGCAATGCAGAAAAAGCAATCAGAGTACCCAGCCCTCTGTACGTGGTTGACAGAAAAATGTTAAAGTTTAGACCAAACAACTACCTCTTTACGAATATTTTCTAGTTTCTGAAAATTGATCTAGAGTAAAATACCTAAACAGCTTTTTGGATGACCTGCATAGTTTCTAATATGACAATTGTTAACACCTGCCATTTCTATCCTGCTATTCTACTTTGAAAACATTACTCTGAAGCAACGGCAATTTTGTAAGCTTTCTTCTGACGAATCATTTCTTTACAAAGGAAACCGCTAAGTTATAAATGTTTAAAATCAGTAAACCAAAGTATGAACACAAATATACAGTTACCCTAAAGCTTCCTTGGAATAGTATTCCATTAAAGTAATAAGACTTTGGAGGTTCTTCTCAAGGCTGAATACATGAGCCACAGCAGATCTTCCCACAGGATTAAAAGTAATCAGGTAAAGATTATGAAGTGTTCCCAAGAGGTCCGAATGGTCTGTTTCCTCACTGGCTGTGCACCGCTGGAAGTGGCAAAACAATTCCGAGATACACTGCAACGTCTGTGTTGAATGCAAGAGCCACAAGGCAAATGTATCCTCATTAGCACTATCTGACTGGAGACCTTCTTCTTGATCTGGATCGGAAAACTGACAAAGTCCTCTTATCAACAGGTTTGTTGCTTCATACTCAGATAGGAAAAAGAGGAGACCCTTCTGCGATTGTGCCAGAAACTTCAATACATCTCTGACAGCCTGAAGTACACCAGGATGAGCACTTGTGACTGGAATGGATAGTAGCAAGGTAATACATTCCAAGAAATGGTGACTGTGAAGATATCTGTAACAGCGTAAAACAAAAGCATCTGTAATACAATCCTGATTTACAAGTCTAACATAGTATCAGAAAAATAATCCAATAATTTTACCAGAACCTCATCTTTTGCATATTTTAAGAAACCATACCAACTTAATGATGAAGTAGAATTCTGAGCTATTTTCACAAAAATGTCACTGCTATGATTATCTCCTAAAAACAAAATTCTTATTAAAAACAATAATTCATACAATAAAAGTGTTAGAAGCTTTAGCCTTGGGAATTTTGTGAATTTGAGTACCTGTATCCTCAAACTTAACATTCTGCTACTATTAGTTCTTAAAGTTAACAATGTTTATTTAAAAAATAATGAGAAAAATGTTTAGAGTTCTTTTATTTTTTTTAGTAATGAGAGACTTCAAAGACATTTTTGTAATGAACAGTTCCTAAGTCCATTCATGATCTTTCTGCTACAAATGCCAGGAGGTTTGATAGTGTTAGGACTTTAAGTGGACCACTGTCCATTGGGAACAGCGCTAAGACACTTAACTGCAAGGTCTTTCAGAGCAGAATGGGTTTTTTTTCGTAGAAGTTTACACAGCACTTAGCATAACAGTCCACTATTCAATCCACGATCTTATCAAGATGGCTAGGGTAGGAAACTAACAACATAACTGATTCCATTAACCAGGCAGTTCTTCCTAACACTTAAAGTGATCTGTAAGCCTTCACTAATAAACAAAAGGCATCAACAGTGTAAAAAAAAATTAGCAAAGCATTAGTCACTGCTTTATGCTACTGCATCCACAAAACTGGAACAAGAAACCTAAAAAAGCAAACCAGACCTGTCTTACCTGAACAAGACAGGGTAAGGATCATCCCTTTCAGGGGGTCCTGTAATGCGTGCTGTTGTCGGGAAGGATTTTACAGGTGGCTGAATCATTGTATGAGGTGAAGTCTCCATCAAATGAAAGATTTCTTCCAGGAGGCTAATAAGTTTTTCCACCTCTCCTTCACTAATATTTGAAGATTCCAGAAGATGGTCCATATCCATAGGAGCCTCCACATCATTTTCATATTCTTGGTTGGTTCTCTCAAGTCCAAGGTCTGTATCCTGCTCTGACTCAGTATGATTAGGAAGGGGAGGAGTACTCTCTGCTAACTGGTCAACAAGCTTTTTAATGTCTGACAGAATCTCATAAAAGTGGCACTTCTGCAGAATTGCTGAACCTGCAGTGAGGACTCTCACCGTCTGATCTAATAGTATGAGTTCCAAGAGTTTCTGATAGCCACTTTTTTCATGTGCCTCTAGCCTACCTTTCAAGAACATATCCATTCCTTCAGTCATACTGATAACGCTATCCAAAGCTTTGAAAGCATTAAGTTTAAGGGAGGATGATACATGATCTGCAAACAACAATTCAAATAGCGCATTAATAACTCCTGCCTGCAAGAGTCCCATTATTCCTTGAGTCTCACATTCTGCTAATGATGACACCAGCTTTGTTCCAGCTTTTAGCTGTCGAACGTTCAAAGCGATGGGTTGCCTGAGAGCTACCTGCAGGTTTAAAGCTTGCATGGTCCAGTCTACTAGTTGGGTAACATAGTCCTGTTTTGTGTCCTTCACTTGCAGGTAGCTTAGGCCCTTCACTATTAAACTTGGAATTTCTTCTAGAGCCGTGACCCATTTTGCACCCCTGTCCTCCTGATATAAATCCAAGAGTTCAATTAATTTAACTGAGGCTTCGACTGCCCCTGAATTTTCCTTTTCTGGATCTTGGTCCCTTATCTTACCAACTTCAGTCTCAAATACAGTCTTGTATGGGCAGCTGAAGTACAACAGAGGTCCAAGCTCTCTTTCATAAGGCTCGTATGTCACAGGTGGCACTGAAGCCAGATCCTCAGGAGTATATTCAATATCAAAGCTTGGATACTTAAATGTTTCACGTTCCAGATCAGCAATTCCATCTTCATCACTTGAAATCTGCTCATAGCCATCATCTCCTGAAAAGAAGTTTTAGGTTTAGTTTGTTAAATAAAAAGCAATTATGTACACATGACTAGTTTATAAAACTTTAGGAATGATTCCTAGTACAAAAGTAGTACACAAACTGCTGCTTAGAAAGTATGAATTCAAAACACTGAAGATATTCTTTGCTACTATAATTAAAAAGCACTATTGTGAGGTTACTCCTTACATAGGACAGCTGCAGAAATTCCATGCAGTTAGAAGCAAAGATCCTAATTCAAATAAGATAAGAAATCCAATCATTACATAATATTCTAGATAACATCACATAATAGCAGCACAATCATAGTTATTCTTAAAAATCTTTGGTTCCAAAAAGCTAATATATACTAAAGGTCTGCTAAAAATCTCCCTCTGGTAAACTCTATTTAGCCTTGACACTTCAGATAATGCTATGTTGACAAAGCAGTGGTTTCTTGTCTTCCTTAACATTCACTATGTTGGAGCTCCATTCCACACTGGAGCTCCAACAAACCAAGAAAATACAGCAGCAGTCTAAAATTTTGCTACTCCACTAAAGAATAAAGAACAAAGTGCAGTGACAGAAACAGGCCAGAAGCACAGCGAAGTGCCAGATGCACTTCAGCCAAGAAGTGCTTGGTTTCATACACGTGGCAAGTTAGGTATCAGAAAAGTAGTTAAACAACTTTTAGGACTGGAAGAAATTCTGACCAAACATTTTTCTGTTTATATTTCTTTAATAAGTGCCTTACATTTATCTATCTATCTATCTGTCTATCTATATAGAGGGAGAGAGAGAGTTCTCTCCCCCTTTTAAACAGAAAAAAAATATTTGCCCTTTTCTTCAAAAAATAAGGCACCTTCCTTTCAGCATCACTGATTAAAAATAAAAAACTAAAATAAGTTTGACAGTTACTTGGGCAAAAATACTCTTTCAAAGCATAAATATCTATAGATGCTTAACTACAAAAATTGTCACTCATAAGAACTTGAGTAACTTGGTCAGAAAATCTGAGGTAATGAATGGATTTTCCCTCAGAAGTCAAGCCAGATGATTTTAGGGATCTTTTTTCCTCCTCCTGAACAAGAAAGGAGGAGATTTGTCACTTAGGCACCAATAAGTAGCTAACGATGCAGTCACTTCCTGAAACTGCAGGGGTTCTTGGATTATCTCATCTTTCCCTTCTCCTTTTTGTATAGTTCCACATATCCATGACAATTTAATCTAACTTCTTACCAAAACATTTGATCCTTCATCATGAAAGCACATGAGACTGTTACTGTGGGACTGTTTTGGAACACTAGATTGGAACTCTTTAGAAATTTTATATGTGAGAAGATAAAGATCTCTAAATTATCATAGCAGAGGATTAATAACAGCTATTTCAACATATAATAATCAATTAAGTGAACAGGCATGTTTGACCTCATAAATGCCAGAATTTAAGTGTACAATATAATACCCCTTTGCAGCCACTGGCTTGGAAGAATTTGATCTTTTTAAAAAAAATAATTTGTGCATTATTTGCAACCGGCTTCCAAGTTTTTTATAAAATCAAGATGAAGACACGAAAAATGACTTGACCCGAAGTCACACACTGCAGTAGAGGCAGGAAGAGCCTATGTCTCTTCATTCCTGTCATCTGCTTATACTAAACTATACTACCCTCCACTTTCAATAAATCTTGGTCATTTTTATTTTTGCATATTACCTACCTTCACCTTCCTCCTCTTCTTCCCCTTCTTCTTCCTCATCTTCCTCTTCCTCATCTTCCTCCTCCTCAGGAATACTCTCTACTGTATGCCCATCATCCTCTTCCTCATCCTCATCCTCCTCAACATCCACATCTTCCTCCTCATCCTCCCCATCTTCTGGCTGGTCCTCCTCTACTTCTCCTTCATCAGAGTACTGGCTTTCTTGGTGAATGGATGTTCGATCAGGAGAAATGGGCTCAAAGTAATCCTCCCTGTGATCAACATCATCTTCCTTTTCCCCAACCACTGGAACGATGGGAAATTAAGAAAAGAATCCTCCGATTACCAAATCCAATACTTTAACAGTATGTTTAAGTGTTTTGTAGTGGGAATAATGGAGATACAAAAGAATGTTTTTAAGCATTCAAATGATCTGACAAAACAACTCACCATAACTAATTAGCTCATTAAACTGTTTACATAAACAGTGTATGCGCTCTTAATTCATAACATGCAAACCCTAGATTGCTATTTGATTCTACAGTTCTTTAAGCGATCATTTAACTGCATTTCTTTTCTTAAAAGTGTATCTGTGATCATCAACAAAAGCAAAAAGTTCATCTGCCACAAGGTAGCACGGCAGGCTTTTTTCCCTTCTCATCATGTACAGCTGTGCAACAGACATAAAGAGAAACAGACTGACACTTGTTATACCTGATACAGGCATGGGTTCATCTTCATCATCATCAGGAGGTGGAGGGCCTGGAGGAGTCCTTGGGCCCCTCGGCTGTGGTCTTGGAGGGCTGCCATTAAACTGATCTTCTTTCTCCCCATCAACTACATTTTTGTTTTTTGAAAATGAGTATTTTAGAGGAGAAAGAGGGAAAGTACAGAAGTTTTTGATTTAGATGTCATTCTTGATTAGAAAACACTCATTTATCAGCTGTACTTTTGCCATGCAACACATGGACAAAAAGTGATTAAGTAATGCCCTTCCTGAAGCCACCCTGGATAAAAAAAACAACAACTCGTTTACTAACCATTAATTCTAGGGCAGTAATTTTAAGTTAACACTACATTCCACATTTATTGTAAGGACTCATATTAGATCATAACTTAGAGCATAACATTGTAATTATTTGTACTGTTGCTTTGATAGCATCAGATAATACTATAAATTCTACTATTACTAACTAAAGCCATTTACAAACCAAACCTTAGCCTGAAGCTGATTATCTACTGTACATTAGTTCTATCTTTCAGTCTGCTAGTTAAATCTCCAAACAATTCCATTCTTTAAAACTACATTAAAGCCAAAATAGCAACTTGGTCAAGCTTTCTGCACAGAAGCTATTCTTCTCCAAACATGATCAATCTTTTTTTTTTAAGCAACCTGCAAGGCACAAACAGAAAGCTAAGTAGAATGGTGAAGCTTTCCTTCACTCTTTATCTACTCTTGATCATTAACTCCATTTTGGAAGTAATGAGTTTGGTCACCTATTCTTGGACTAAGTCATATGAAATGCAACCTAAAAGAGTTCTTCAGTTCCTGTTTTCTATAAGTATTTTTCAGTAAATCACATTCACTTTTTCAGAAGCACTATAAAAAGAGGAACTTATTAAGAAACGTTTAACCTAAATCTGTAAGAAGATTCAGTGTTACTTTAAAAAAAAAAACCAAAAAAAAGCAAAATACAACTTCAACTGGATAATTAAGTCCAATGAAGTCTCTGATGTAAAGATTTCCTATCTGCAGTTCAGAGATATTTTAAATAAAGGAAACACTTGCTACTTTTGTTCTCATAGTTCTGATTTGCTCACCATGTTTTGGGTTTCTTTTCAAGCCAGGCTGTTGTTGGGGAGGAGGTGGCGGGGGAGGTGGCGGAGGTGGTGATTCTCTGTCATGACTTATTACTCTATCAACAGAGCCATATATTGCCAGGGTCAGGCAGTTGTACCAGCCTCTCAGAACCAATCCATCTGTGTTGACCTGATTCACAAAATAAAATGCAACAATTAAAAAGCACTGGTGAGTGAAAATTCTATACTTTAAATCTTATTCAAAGAGCTCTGTATCAGTAGCCACATAAAAGCACTCAAGGAAAATGGAAAATTAATGAGCTTTACACCTTTCCCTGGCTTTGAAAGAGAAAACTCAAAACATTTTTAATTACATCAAATAAGTGATTTTTACTCTCCAAAACATCCATTTACAACACACTGTGAAGGCCACTCAAACCAGTTTATGAAAACTTCCCTTGGCGTGGGTAACATTGAAGCATTGATCTAAATGCACCAGATGCCAAAGAGAACTGCAGAGGAAGCTTGGAAGTACACTACAAGCATTTAATATCAATTCTGATTTACAGTTATTGTCAGCTTACTAGTACCTGTAGACTAGTAAGAGGTGAAAAAAAGATGAGGCTTTTCAACATCCTTTATTACTTACACCAGGGGTACACAGCCTCCAGCCCATGAACCAAAGCCAGTCAGTTGGGATCCACATGGATTAGGGCTGAGCCCACACACATCCAGATCAGGCTGCAATGCTCCACCTGCCACTCCTCCCCACCTCCCCCCCGCAAACATCTACATTTGTTTTGGTGTTTTTAAGATAGGTAGAACAGAACTAATTACGAGATTCTAATACAGGCTGATACTCTGCCCAGATACAGCAACCTTATCTCACTATCCTTTGGTTTTTAATCACTCAGTCTTACCAACTGAGTTGAACATCTACTACGGTGATGTCATCCATCTGATGTTCACTGTAGTCCTGATAGGTGCTACCAAGGTCAGCCTTTTTGAAAACCTTATCACTTAGGGTAGGGACAGATGTAACATCTAAAGCAGTGGAACACTATCGGATATTAAAGGGCTGAGCCCTCCTTTGTCATGCTCTGTACAGCATGCACATGTAACTCAATACATTTCATTTGAAGAGCTTCTAAATAGTACTTGTTTTCTTCAGAATTATTTTTGGAGCACTTCTGCCATTTTCAGAACATTTCAAAGGGCATTTACATCCGTCTGCTTGCCCTCTGACATATTTTAAATACATACAAAGTTATTCAAGTGTTATATCTGTCCACACCCTTACAAGGGCTCTAACTTTAGGCTTTAACTTTTAAAGCATTGGCCCTAGTGTATTACCCAACTGAGCTGTATAGATTCGTTTACAATAAGCATATTAAAGATAGGTCAAACACTATGACTATTTTGTCCAATACTAAGCACATTTAATAGCACTACCAAAGAACACAAATAGCATCCAGACAGGAAAGAAAAAAGGTTCAAATCACAGCAGAAATAAGACATAATTACCTTTGCATTGGGTCTAAAAATAATTGAAGTGTTCTCATCGTATTCAAGGCTGTTAAACAGAACACACGTTTATTTTTCATTTATTTTTCAAAACCTCTTTAAACAATCTAAAGTCCTAATGTTCTATATATCACCTGTATTAATACTTCACGATCATGAAAGAGGCAGACACCAAGTCAAAATATTGTACAACGTATATGCTCATCAATTTAAGAATGCAAAAAGCCCAACATACATTACCATATGTGGGTAATATATGCTGACATTAAAGGGAGTGTCAATTTAAGAACAAAAGATGCTGGGGAGGTAGGGCACTGTGGGAAGGCATCAGGAAGCAGGAATAGGCAGGCCAGAATGTAGATGGCATGCCCTACAATCCTCAGTCCCATATATACTTTGGAATGGATCAATCAGAAAATAAAACTTTAGAAAAGTTATACTATTCTAAGAAATCTTGACAACATCCAGTGATGAAGCTGGGTCACAGTGGAGGACAGGGAAGTGAAGCAAGTTTGCCTACATAAAATCTCTTATTAACAATATTGATTATGAAACAGTGTTTGCAAGAATAAGCTATGCCAACCATACTACTTTATATTCTAACTAGACAATGCAACTATGCATGCTATTTAATATTATAACCTGTAGCATCTGTACTATAAGATCCTAAAGCTTTATTTAAGAAAATCTTCATCTATTTATAAAGTAATTTTGAAAGTACTTGCCTTCCCAGCCTGTCAAAAACAGGAGCACTTGGCTTGCTGACATTGTTGAAAAAAAGGTCTAACTGAAATGTATGTGGAGATGTCTCCCTGTAAAGAGAACACAGGTGAAAATTAAACCTGTCAAACTTCAGTTAAGCAAAATAGAACAGGACACACAAGTCCTAAAATCCAAGATTCTCATTTGAAAAAAAACTGAAAAAAATATCTTACATATTCAGTGCATGCATAAACTTAAGACAGCTTTTTAGACTGCAAAACAAGTCCCAGACAAGAGGGATAATATACTTGAATCTCTCTGATTTGTACTGCCTTACACTTACCCATAGGCCCTGTTGTCAGGCAAACTGGTGTGAGCTCTTACTCCCGGAGGAATGACACGTACTTCATTTATGTAAACAACACATGGAAAACGAATGACATCTATATTGGTACTTTGCTGAAAACAAAACAATAAACCAAACATTAAACAGTTTTAAAAATGCATTCTTGATTTCAATTTATATTTAAAACTTATATACTCTCAATAAAAAGAGTACCTAACATCATTACTATCTACTGTTTTTTAACATCTAGAACATGGAATTTAATATAAGACAGGTGCCCATCTCTCACACATTGCCATTATAATTAACATTACTATAGGAATTCTGGGCAGAAAAAAGTAACAGTAAATAAGCATGGATTCTCTAAAGAGGACCCTATTCACACTGGAAACACTAGTTTATGAAGAAATTGTTTATAGAACATTTTTGGTTCAACAACTGTGCTATGACCAAAGAATGAACAACACTATTAAAATGCTTTTAAGACCTATTTGAAATAGCGGTGCACCGATAAAGATTTTCTTGGCTTATACCAATAACTAATATTTAGTAATAAAGCTAGTCAAACAAGCTTTAGTTCAAGTGCCCCCACCGCCATTTCTAAGCGTGGGGACACTGATACAGGAGACATGGCAGCACATTAAATTAGAGCAGCTCTTGGAGCCATTCTAATTAAAGCACTGCCCTCCTCCCCCCCAACTCCTGGAGCACATGTAAAAGTGCCCCATGCCAGTTGAAGCTCCTGCCCTTCAACCCCAGGGGGCAGCTTCGTGCACCGGAGGCTGCCCAGGACTGGGTGGTCTCTGGGTCAAGCTCCACGCTAGGGGGAGGACTTTGCTGCACACAGCAGGGGAAGCAACTGCTCCAGCCCCTGCCAGGCTTTGCCCCCAGTCCCTGGGGTTCAGACCCACAGGTACTGCAGGTTGAGTCAGGCCAAGCCAAACAGAGCAGCTCAGCTCCACCCACCCCTCCCTGCCCCAGTCACATTTGTGGCATTCGGCACTTTTACAGCGCCCGCCCCGAGCCTGGCCCTGGCCCAAGTCCACGCCACGCCAGCACTCAGAACACCACAGCAGCTGCTAAGCTCCAGCCCGGCCTGGCCCACCAGTGAGGAGATGGGGGTGTATCCGGGGTCACCCTGGCTCATGGGAGCAAACCCAGGCATTCGGGGGCCTTGGCCCCATGGGCAAGTGGAAATCCAGGTGTATGCCTTCTGGCCTGTGCCCCCCTACTGGAGAAGGCACTCCAGAAGGCATTACTGGATAACATTATTAGCTACAACAGCCAAAAAAACCCAGTAGCCAATAACGTAAATTTCCCTATTATCGGTGCCGATCCAACAGACAACCAATATACCTCTAATCTGAAATTAAGAAATGATTTTTTACCAGCTGTTCTGAAAAGCTCGCACTAACACAAGTGCCATGAAACCAATTTTTGAAAATGGTCACTGGCTCCCTAAAACAAGTTTCTATAAGGTACAAGGAACCTTTAGATAAGCATTTGTCAATCCACAAGTCGCAACCCAGAAGTGGGTCACAAGAATATATGAAAGAGTCATGAACAAACTTTTAAAATAGATTCTCCTTTAAAGGACAAAAATGTGGGAAATTCTGGCTTTTCTGTGGCAGGCTGGCAGAGTTCCCCCCAACCCCCTGCCCCCCACACTGCAGGGCTAGGAGGCAGCGGGTCAGAACTGGCCATCGATGTTTACAAATGGGTCCTGGTACAAAAAATTTGAGAACCACTGCTTTAGATCAACCCTACAGACCTATCCTGTACCCAGTTGCATAATAAAGAACCTCACTCTCAAGGACTGTCAAGTTTGATGACTGTCACATAACAGAGTTAACCAAACTAAGATACGTGACTTTGACCAGGGTGTGAAAGATAACATCCACAAAGCCCTATCACATGGCCCCCAATGCCATCTCTGGTTCTAAACTGACCCACATGCTCCACCTGCCACCCTATCTAGGATCCGCACTGCAGGCAACACCCTGCTACCCTCAGCCAGTCCAGGACACACAGTGTATGTAGCAATACAAGTCCTGGACCAGCCAGGGGTAGTGATGCTGCATGCAGCACAGTCCCAGATTGACGGCAGGGAGCAGGGAGGAGTGTTCTGGAAGAGGAACTTGTAAAGCCGTTTGCTCTGCAGAATTTTCCTTTACTTTAAACAAATGCATGATACATTCACTTTTCATCTAATCCTGTTACTTCTGCAAACACTGTGGAGGCATGCCTCTTTCAGTCCACTAAAGCACATGCATATGCTTATGCATATGCATATATACAATCTGTGTGCATATCCTTACACACTCCTATTGAATTTCATAGAGATACTCACATGCTTAAAGCGAATCAGAACCAAAAGCACAATTTATAATGCACATAGGATTCATGAAATGACATGCGTTTTGTGCACTGGATTAAATTAATATATTTTATAGCATATGCAAAACACAGTTTGGAACACTTGGAGTCTCGACTTGTTCTTTGGGCACACAAAGCCTATCTTCACAAAAGAAGCTACTGACATGCTAAAAACTACATATTAGGGGGAAGACAAAGTGGATGAAATCTAATACTTAAAAGGTACATGAGCTGGCCAAATAAATATTTCTCATTTGAATATTAAGCAGCACTTCTGAATGAGTACTACTTGCAAATCAAGTACCACAGCCCATTTTGGCTGTACAAGTTACTGGGGAAAGGAAGAAAATGCAGTTTTTACTTGTTATTACACAAGAAAGTATTTTATTTTACTCTCCTATTAATTAAAAACATCTGAACCCTTTTGGCATAAACAGATTTTTTTTCCAACTTGAATACTATAGACCTCAGGCACAAAAAACTACATGCCCAAGGGCGAAACCGGCAAAGCTGTAAACCACTAAAAACTCTGGATAAGATTCTATGTTGTGCCTGTAAGAAATGGTGCAAAACATGCACTGTGGACACGTGAAAATGTTGGGTGAGGCCAAACACAGCTTTAAGCCCCCTGTGGGCATTCCCAACCCTAGGCTGCTCTCGGAAGTTCAGAAATCTCCCCACCTCCCTTCAGTAATTTTGGCTTGTCCTTACAACACTGTTAGCTCCAGGTATAAAGCTGAGTCTTACACCACAACCTGCTGCTCTTGTCCAGATGATTCCCTCTCACTTGAGTTAAACAGTGCTTTACACTTGACCTGGTAACACAGTACCTCAAGGTTATACTACCTCGGACATCTGTTTATTCATTCATGCTGTAAACCTGGAGTGTTGATTTAGCTAGACTCAAGTGCAGTAATTGATGTAGTAATGCAAGATTGCTCCAGCAAACATCTTTCTACAGCAGGGGCAAGCAAAATATGGCCCACAGGCTGAATGTGGCCTGTGCCTTCCCCTGCAGCACTCCACATAGGAACAAGTCCTGATCAGGGCTGCCTGTCCCATGCACACAGGCCCACAGTTGCCCATGCCTGCCAATGGCACCACCCCAGCCAGCACGCACAGATTCCCAGCAAGGCTGCTCCTGCAGCAGCCTGGGTACAGCTCAGCTCTCCCCGCCACTCCCAGCAGCTCTTCCTCCTGCCCCTGTTGTGCTGCTCCGCGTTGGAGGGGGCGGCAGAAGGCTACAGCAAGCGGCTCCTGCCCCGAGCATGCAGCTCCTGGCTTCCTTCCATCCACTCGGAAAGCAGCTGGGAACTAGAAGCTGAAGCCGACTGGCTGCAGCTTTGCTAACTACAGCTGAAGCTACCAGGCTGCAGCTTCCCTCCCACGCCACAGCACAGCAGGGGCAAAAAGAGAATGAGATGCTAGGGGCACCGGGAGCCAAGCAGCAGCCAGACAGCTGCAACAGCAGCAGGAGCAGTCCCACCAGGAAACAGAACTGGCCAGCACTGGGGCCAGGCTGTCGGCAAATACATCATGAGTACAGACAGGACTCAGCTCCATGCAGAGCACTGTGGGGGCAGCCATGGGCTGAGTGGGGGCAGATCACCTGCACCACCTAGGTGAGTTCTGCTACTACACACAAAAACTCTGCCTCCCCAAACTCTGCCCCCCACACACACACACCTCTGGCCTGCTCCCGGGACCTAGTGTGTGGGAAGCCACCCCCGCCCCACTACACAAAAGTAAGACTATTTTGAGCTACTATGCAATTGCCTCTATATACACTACTCAAAAACAAAATCAGAACAAAAATAAAATTAAATTTTTGTAGTAGATGTTTGATTTTTAGTATATGATCTGTTTTTATCTATAATTTGCTAAAATCACACCGTCTGAAAGATTTTGTATGTGTAGCCCTCAACAGCTCACCAGAACTCTTTAGGTAGCCCACTACCCAAAATAATTGCCCATCTCTGTTCTACGGCCTTGTCTACATTATGGAACTACTACTCCCAAATCAGCCAGCAAAGCTACACTGGCAGAACCCCCTAGGGCAGCAGGGGCCAACCCTGTTTGGCAGGCATGCCACAGATTAGCTCCACACCCTTTCCAAGTACCACTCCAATCTCCTTCTCCTGCCCAATATGCTACTCTACTTTCTGCTCCCTGCCTAATCTGCTGCTCTTTCAACTTCTGATCTATCTGCCACTGCGTCACCTGTCCCCACCACCATATGCTACTGTGCCACCTACAGGCTGCCACATCACCTGTGGTATGCATGCTGCAGTTCAGCCACCCCAGACTTGGCAGATGCCAGCAGAAGTTCTTCTGTTAGCACAACTGTACTGCCACAGAAGCATCCACACCAGCATCAGACATGGGTGCGATCTATGTGCACCTCTAGCTGACATTTCTATACTACAATGTTCACACACGTTCATACAATGCACAGCTAAAGCTTAAGTTATGTCAGACCCTCCAAGGGTTTTCAACACTGCACAAAATTGGGAAGGGCTTGATTTTTATTGATCTAAATTTTCATGATTGCATGAAGTTAGAGGTGTGGAAGCACACAATTTAGTAATGACAGTATACTGTTAAAAGCTTTACAAAAATCATCTCACCATCTAAAAAGTAGATATTCATAAATCAATCAACCACCTGCTTTAAAGCATTCTGTTCATTCATCAGGAAAAAGCAAGGCAGGCAGGGACCAAAAGAGGAGGGCAGCAGC